AAAGACTTCACTCTCATTTATTAAAAGAAAATTAAAGATATACTTCAGGCTTAGCACCACACACAAAGCTGCTGCATCCGTAAGTTCACAGTCGCTCCAGCTCCTCTCTCCACTCTCATGCTCCATCCTAAGTCCATTAGAGTATTGAGTGTATAATTACAGAATCAGAGGGAATTAGCCGTACGAAGTTCTTTTTTTCCAAGCAAAGGTCTAAATATATGGACAACCTAAACACAGACTACAAATTTCCTACCTTAAAGTAAAACATGGACAAACATTACCATATAACTAAACAGGTTAAAGGAATGTCCACACTGAGCAGAAAGTCCTTGAAATTACTTGGCAGGTATGTCTTCTGACGAGGAACATTCAGTGAGGACTGCAAGGCAGTTGACATGTCCGTGGCCTCCATGGTCTTTAATGACACGTCATTTGCATGATGATGCAATAGACGCAACATTAGGGTCTGGTTCCAATACAGGAGCATGTTGAGGCATCCTGGGATGTAATAGCCACGTCTGGCAGGGGGTGGTTGAATGCTGTGAATAGGTGAATGGTCTGGGCGTGTATGTGCTGTAGCTATGGGTGGAAAATTTTGTATCATGTTAGTGTCTGTCAGTGAATGCGATACAGGCAACTGAGGTGACTGGGGAAAGGGCACAGGCCACAAAGGACAATGTGGCTCTGAATCAGCAGGCTGATGTAGATTTAATGAGTGTGTCATTAAACAAAACTGAGTTAGGGTTAACATGATAAGGCTTGAGACGGTTGTAATACAACATTTCAGGCTTACTGTCAGGTCTGGATACGTAACTAATTTCGAAGTTAACAGGAGGAAGTCAATCACTGACTGATATGGCATGTAATACCCCATTGGACCCAGTCCAATGGGGTGCAAGCTTACTGTGACAATGTACTGGATCATCAGCTACCAGCAAATCACCCTGTTTATATTTGATAGTGTGTACCTCAAGTGTTGGTTGTAATGCTGCCACTGGGAGGCCTCAGCTTTGTATCTCAATGCTGCTGCTGCACGGTAAGCCAGGCCTAAGCGGTGAAGAAGTGAGAATGCGTATACCGCTGGGGTGCAGCAACAACATTAGGACTGTGACGCAGAAATGTATCAATAGGGACTTTCACCTCCCAGCCATGAACCAGATAAAATGGGGTGAAACTGGTGGATGAATGAGTCGTTGTGATTTAGGGTAATGCTGTCTAGGGTAAATGTTCATCCTAGTCTCTATGGGAATCAAAAAGGTACTTCACCAAACCAACGCAGTTTGGACTTCTACAGCAATGTCACACTGCACAAGATAAGGGGATGTTCTGATTTAAGCTACAGGTGTTTCATGAGGTCCGATTCAACGATGGACGATAGACATGCCTACATAAAATGCTATCTCACACATGAAGACATGTAAACAGCATGGCATGGTGAAGGCTAGGAAATAAGGGGACACCACAATCAGGGAACGCCACAAAATAATGAGACCACAAGGGGTGAAAACAAACAGAAAAAAAGTACAAACTCAAAGAAACCATAAAGTAACACCATTAGGGAAACCAGGCAACATAGCAAGCAGGACTAGGAAACAGAGCAAAGCCACAACACACAATAACACAAACACAATGACTGACTACAGAACAGAGCAGGGAAGCCACTTAAATACACATAGAAAACCTGGGCAAACTAGGAACAGGTTTAAGACATAATCAATTAACAAATCAACTGAGGTACAAAAACAATGAGAAACAGTAACGCTAAATAAACACAGAACTAAAAGATATAGCAAACACTGAAACTAGCAACATTAATCATACACTGGGAATTATTACACTATGAAACTTAACTTGCAGCAAAAATATATACAGGAACAGAAGTGAATTAAAACACACACCCAGGGAAATCTTAAGACCAAGGACAAGTGAGAAGATAACAACACTAAGGAAACAAAAAAAAACAACAAATACAAATAAGGCTGGGCTCTGGTTCGCCTCAAATCCATGACTGGAGGGTACAGCTACTGAGCCACATGCTCAACTCGCTGGGCTACACGGCAGCCTAGGAAAACTGGGAGACACACTGAGGTTAAAGGGTTACAAGACGGAGGAGGAAACAGGATGGCCATCAACACCTGCTGGCCAAAGAGGGACTGATCATAAGGGAAAGGGATGGACAAGCACCCATGTGACAGTGCCATGTAAGCACCATGGGGCTTTCTCCTTTTTTGATCTTTTACTCTTTTTGAACCAAGTGAATACAGCCGTCAGATCTGGATCGTTCTCTAGGTGGTTATCCAATTCTAAATCGGTGTGTATGTGCACCAGATTTGTAGTTGTTGCAAAGAGGTGCAGCCAGGAAGAGTGGGCTCCGTGCTGACACTACACTCAACTAGCCTGGACCTCAATTTATTGAAGTTGGGCAAGGAACATTAGCGTAACAAGGTATGTCTGATGGGATATAGCATCAACATTAAGGTATTTTGTTTCAGCCTGTTGGATGATGGTTCAATAATAAAGGTCAAGCTCTACAGCCCAGTGTGCTCGTCTACCTGTGGGATCATGACCTAAAGAAAGTTTCTTGAGTC